CACTCGCATGAAATTATGAATTATGAACGAACCTAAATTGCTAAACGGATCTCGACGAAATTTGGCATAGATGTATATAGTCTGGCACATCACATATGCTACTTATTTTTCTTTTTTTATTTGCACACGGACAGAATCGCGGACGAAAGCTAGTCTTATATAATTCTCATTTATCACTGAACTGATTTATATTTCGTATTAACTGTTCTTCCGCATTTTAGCCACATCTGGTTTACATTATCTTTGGCAACAAAGCTTGTATCATAAACAATTATAGTCTGTTGTATTTCAGTTGTTACATATTTGTTTTCATCAAACCCTTCCTTGATGGACGATAAATTAAATGTCAGTTTGCGGAGAAAAGACATTCTTCTGAGTATATTAATTGACGTTTTATCGCTTCTTAGTAATATCTTAATATTACTTTTATATGGTAAACCACATTAAACGCATACTAATGATATAAATGCGAAAGTTAGATGGATGGATGTTTGTTAGAGTTTGTAGCCTAAACTGCTGAACGGATTTTGATGAAATTTGGTACAGATGTAGAAGATAGTCTGAAAGAACACATAGGCTATTCACTTTTGTTTTTTTTTAATTCCACGCATACGGAGTCGCTAGCGATAGCTAGTCATATTATAAATGTAAAAGTTAGATGGATGGATGTTTCTAAGAGTTGTTTGGCATAGACGTAGAGGTTAGTCTGGAAGAACACATAGGCACTTTCGTTTTAATTCCACGCGGACGGAGTCACAGGCGATAGCTAGACCTAAATAAAAATTTCAAGTTGCACGTACCATATACAAGCGGGAATACACTAACTGGCATACCAGTAACTAGCATTCTAGTAGATAGCATGACATTTGATTTTGTGACCTGTTCTGTTTTTGAACTGGAAAGTTCCTTACTATTTAACTGGCATGTGTTCCCGCCTTTATTCAGTAAGCGTACTAAAGTCCTACACATGCGTTTCAACTCTAGCTTGTAATAGAGTCTACTCGTAGCATCAAAGCATTGAATTGCGTTATCGGCCTTGACGTGGTGTCGCGGAGGCTTGCTATCGGCGACACAGCGTCAGGGCACGGTCGTCGATTCGATTCCCCGCTCCAACGCACCCGTCAGCCCGATGTCTGCCGATCGGAGATAGCGACGTCGATACGCCCAGACTTGACACTGATACTCAAAGTCAATGGCATAGATGCAGACTAGTCTATGAACTCCTGGTATACGAGAAATTTTATATTTAAATCTATACGATGTTGATTTTACCTTAAAATTGGACTCTAGTAACCTTGACAACAGAAGTAGAACCTATAATGGTTATTGGGTTCTTTATGAGATTATCTTAAGGTTTGGAACTTTCACTTACAGCCTGATCACTAGCTGTTGTTCGTCCGCGTGAAATTATAAAATAATATAAAAAACGTAGCCTATATTACTCACTGATAATGTAAATTTCAATGGTGAAAGAATTTCATTCAATCTCAAATTGATGGTATTTTTAAAATCAGTTTAGTAGTTTTTGAGTTATTTTAATACAAAAATGCAAAAGTAAAAATCTATACATTTTATAACATAGGCTAGCTGTTCCCGTGCAGCTTTATCCGCATGTAATTATAAAAATTTTATTTTATTGTTTACATTTGTCAAATTGTCAATAGCAAATGTCAAAATGACATGACATGATGACAATCTTGCTTCCTTGATGTTGGCAGCAACTTGTGGTCTCTTTCCCACATTAAGGTTTTTATCCAAAATATTTACCCTGAGTTTAATGGCGTGAAAATATATAGCCTAAAGCGTAACGTAAGTGTAGGTCTTTTTATTAAAAAAATAATCATTCATAAATATGCTGTAATAGCTGACATCTTAGGCAACAAAAAAGTGTGTGTTTACGCTTTATTATAATAGTATAGATGTGTTAAATTTCCATAGGCGTCTTCAATAACTTATTCTGGCTCGTTTAGCAACCTTTTTAAAGATTATATTTTAAAGAAGAGATATCTATCTAGATAAACTAGCGATATTGCGGAAAAAAATAAAACTAAGTTCTTTGCGTATGCTAGAAATAAATAAGGCGACTGAAACGCGCTTAGATCAGAATTTTTATTTACGACTGTCGATTCTGAGTTAAAAATTTTCACGTTACTTGAATTCCCGGCTATTTAATACATTTTACGTAATTCAAGCTTTCCTCATTTATAAATATGAAAGCTCATTAAAATATGAAGGTATTTATATTCGCTAATTAGTTGCAGCTAATGTTTGTAATTTTCCGGCAGATTGGTTGCACGTCGCTAATACTCAGTCTGGCAGTCGCTCAACTGGTACACTTTGTTCGACAATCTTATTATTACTTTCTCGTTTTGCATATTCCTTTTATACTAGACGACCACGTAACGATATTATTAATTGGTTAAGATAGATTTTAGCTATCTTCATCAACTTACCCTTATCCCTTATGGAGGGTCGGCACAGTGTGCTGCTCTTCCATACATCTCTATCAGCCGTCATACCTGAATCCACTCCTTTCTTAAGCATATCCTCTTTCACACAATCCATCCATACTTTCTTCGGTCTACCTCTTCCTTTGTAGCCATCCACATTCATTCTTAACACTTTCTGGTTTATGTCCCCATCTCGTCGCATAACATGTCCATACCACGCTAACCTTTTGCTTATCAATTTCTCCACCACTGGCGCTACTTTCAAACTTCCTCTAATATACACATACTTGACTTTATCTATTCTTGTCACACCATACATCCATCTTAACATACGCATATCAGCCACATGCAATTTCATCCGCAACTTTGGTAGCCCAACATTCAGATCCATACAATACAACAGGTCTTATGATGGACTTGTAGGTCTGTCTGTTTTGGCTCTATTAAGACAAATATCAAATAATCTACGATATATAGTTCTAAATTAAATAATGTAAATGCCTCAATAAGTAATAAATACGAACATATTTTTATTATTATATTTATTTAACAAGAAATTAGGCAATTCATTTGTTTTTCTCTCAATTATTTTCACATTATTACTAAACTTATAACAAAATAAAATAATGTTACAGTTTTATACGGGTTAGTATAACGTATTTAGTTAACGACATGTATACGATATTCTAACGACAAAAAACCAACACTAAGGGCTTTGATATCTATGTATATGAGCGCATACTATTCGATTCTTAGTTATGAACAGTTGAATTGGCTGCTAAACAAACGACAATCGCACAACAGTCGTGCGATAGTTTAGTCAAAGGTGTACGCCCGCTTTTATGAAACTTGTCATTTGATTATTAGTGCATATAGATTTGGATAATACAATATAGTATGTTTGTATCATTACTGTCATAGATAATATCTTTAGGAGAAATTGTTGGACTGGCTGGTGACCCGTTTGTGTACAAGCTTACAATGGGTAACGGATTGGATTCCGATAGAAAGTGTTAATAAATTAGTTGAGACCTACTGAAGTAGAAATTAATGAAATGTTCAAAGAGATTTGCAAGAAATGTGATGTTTTCATATTTTGTCTATATCTATATGCATAGGAAGGGGAAATGTACTCTTTATGTGCGTCTCCTCCGTCAATTAAGGGTAGGCAACGCATCTGCATTTATGGATGTTTACAGGCAGCGGTCGCTTTCTATTTCGGTGTATTAAGGTGGCGTTTACCACCTTATAGTTATTATAAAAAAAAATATAACTAATAAGATTGGAGTGTCTGTTTGTAATATTAAAAGAGAAATTCCAGATTTCGGGAAGATGATGTATTCGTGTTGCTGATAACGAAAGTCGATTTAATTTTTTTTTTGTCTGTCGGTCTGTCCGCAAGCCGCGTTAATTCAGGGTAATCTCCGAAACCGCTGGACCGATTTCACTGAAGGGTAGCTGACATAGACGGGCATATTATAGGCAACTTTGTTATTTTAATATTGGGTGGACGAAGTCGCAGGTAACAGTTAGTTGCTAATAAAAACGAAACAAAACATAATCTGTCTGTGTCAAGTAATTCGAGTTGTATTCTTAAATACATATAAAACTGAATAAATTGCCGCATTAAGTGAAAACACAAATAAAAGACAACAAATGATACTGAGACACGTGTCGAGGTGATGTGACAATGATTGCGAAGTGTTTGTGATGCTAGAGGGGCTTACGCGAGAGGGGTTTAGGAGAGGGGGGCGTAAATATTTGCGCGCCACCAGTGTCTTTACAATTGGCCTGACATTCCGTCACTGGTACGCAAATGTCGCTGACAATATCGTAAATAAGACATTTGTGTAACTAACAATTCTACAGTTTTACAGTGGCTTTCTTTTAGATTAATAGTTGAAATTTAAAAATTGCATGAGCGTTTTTGCGTGATGTTGGTAGCGCGTTCATATTTACTAATTATGACAACAAAATGTCGCTTATATCTATTTTAGTAGATTCCGTATTATGTTATCGTTCTTGTTTACATTGCTAGCGCAGAATATTTTTTGATGGAACACACACATAAGACAACTGGGTTATGCGTATGAAAAAGATATATAAAGTACATTTGTATATTGAAATAAAAGCAATAATACCTTACATTGTACTTTTAAATTCATAACAAATCTATACTATGCAAATTGTAAAAATAAACATAGATAGTGATTTTTGACGTCATAACAGTAAGCATGAGATTAAATGTCGCATGACGCTATTCAATTCAGCTTATTCAATACAAAATTTCATCTTAATAACATAATTGCCCAAAGTAAAAATAGCTTAATAAATCACAACGTCAAACAGATCGCACTTGTCTTGACTCCAGGTAAATAAACCCGATAAGATAAGGAACAGACGCTCACCGCGTTTGCATTTACCATCCGA